CCACAGAATCTAGCAACTATTCTGTCCCTCAGTATTGAGTTCCTGCCCCCTATCACCTAGCTTACTTTAACAGCAACCAACTACTCCAGAACTATGAACATCCTCATGATGTTCATGCTGAAGAGGGAGGAAAGTTCTGTTCATATCTTACAGTTAGAATTCCCAAGGCCCATAATTGTGGATTGATCTCAGTCAATTCTATACATAAGCGTGTCAGAATAAGACCAAGAACAACATTCACACCTTGCACAAACTGCAACAGCATCACCATTCTGCTCTGAAGAAAAAATTTCATATTGTACAGGTTTACTGTAATTTAATTCCCAAAAACATAAATTCAGATACCACCCTGGCATTTGCATGTACAATGGAGTAACAAACTCTGCAGTTTTCACTGGGATCAAGATGCACAAATAAGTTATGACAGTGTACTCAGAAATGCATAGTATCAAATTAATTCTTATCTGAGTGAGTGACAGCACTTAGAAAAATGCCACCTACTACACCCTCCCTTACCTTCACAGGCTGCATGGAATCGAGTTAACTGATATCATTTTTTCCCAACAATCTTTTTTAAGTGAACACTACATAAAAGCCACATGAGAACACAGTATTCTATGCACTCAACCCTGAAAGTCACCTCTTGTACAAGCAGAGGATAGAAGAATGGTTATTGGAAGATGGTGCTCACTATTTTCTAATGCTCTTTTACAACATTTTTTAAAGTATCACATCTGGGAGTCATAGCTTCTACAAATTATATGAGAAAATGGTAAACTAAAAACTAGTTTGAGATTATAAATTCAGCTTTTTCTATACATGGGTACTGGTGTATATGACCTTCAACAATTGACACAAGAACAGAACAAACACATCACTCACATTATTACAGCACTGAAAGCCTCAACTGTTAGCAATTCTAATCAGCTTTGGAAAAAGCTATTTTAACATTTGGGGCAGTGAGGAATATGGAAAATCAAAGCCTCAGTCACAAGAATATTACTATTCAGACAAGGCTAATCTTACTGTTACAAAATAAGACCATCATCTCTCAAACGAAGCTAGTTCAGACAGCAATACAATAACCATTAAACTTCTAATCCTTGCAGCATATGTTTGACTAAAAAAGTAAACAAAGAACAGACCAGAAAGATAAACAAAGGTTCGGTAGGACCAGCAGGAGGTCTAAAACGGAAGTTCTTCAAAGACAACTCTTTCTTTTTGAATCATTTGTGCCACACACCAGATAAAACAGGCTAAGTTAGGCTCTGAAACTGCACAATACATAGACCACATATTACATCTCAAGCATCTTCTTTAAGACCTAACTTCTAGCAATAAACTAGTGTTAAAGAAACCCAAGATTTCTTTAGAAACCCAAGATTTCTTTAGAAATCCAAGATTTCTTTAGAAACCTTACCTTTAGCTCATAATGTCTTATGTCTTTTAATTGCTGACTGATATGAACTCTGTTGGAGAGGAAGTAAAAGCAGGAATTTTTTTATTTTTTATTATTTATTTATTTATTTATTTATTTTACATTTTCCATGTTTGCCTAAGGCTACTGGCAGAAAAATTCAGGACTTTTTCCAAGGTATGTCAGTACCAATGATGTGTCACATGTCATTACTTTATAATTAGGCTGATAGCCAAAAAGAATAATGCAACTGACGTTCTATTAAAATAGAAAGTATTCCCCAAGGCATAAAACCACTGACACATAAGCATCTTAAGAGGCAGAATAAAAATGATATAAGGAACTATTCATTCATGTTACTGCCTTTTCCATCATAGATTCAAATAAGTCATTTTAGAATTATGCATGCATGGAATATTGAAGTAAAATATCCTACAGTTTGTTCATTTGTTTCCCAAGTATTTCATATCTGAAAGCAAAATGCAATAAAACTTCTTTTTTTTGAATACAAGCTACTATAAGAGAAATATGCTTTATACTGCATTTTGATAATCTTTCTTCAATCCCTCAGATGAGTAACTAATCACAAACCAGATTTTAAAAAATCACAAGATTTAAAAAAAAAAAAAAAAAAAAAAAAAGAAAGGAAAAACTTCCATGTCAAGAGTTCACAACTTAAAGTGCAATAATACTCAATTTGTAAACACCAGAACTTCATTCTCTAAAGAACGCTCTTTCTATTTCCTGCAAAATGCTCCTGACATAATCAGGATTTAGGAAACCCAGGGCCTCATAGTTTAGAATATACTTAGTTCAGATTGTCTGGAAGTTAGACAGACTAGCAAGAATCATCAGTTTACATAATTATATTTTTATAGCCATTCTCTTCACATAGCATGGCCAAATTTTAGTTCTTATTATCACAAGAAAAGTGTCCCACCTATTCCTTGCAGGCACATATATTAGAAAATGTATGCTACTCCATGTGTTGGCATTGTATAAACTACTGAAAAAAATAAAAATTAAAAGAAAAATTGCAGTGTTATTCAAATTACAAGACTTCAAATTCATTTTCCTTCTGAAGCCTTGCACTTTTAATATATTTTTTTTCCCTAACAACTATTAATATTTTTTTCAGTTGGCCAAAAAACAGTCCTTCACGAAGCTGGCAGATCAAGTTCTTTGTTCACTCTGCACAACGCTTTCATTTCCAACACAATGACAGACAGAAGTATTGTGTTTTCAAATGTATTACAAGGAATCCTGTGATTTAGTTGTTGCTATTAAAGAATGATATTCAGAGACAATATATTCTGAAATGAAACAATTTCTACTTAACTATCCTTCTCTTATGTTCTAGACACAGAAATTATAACACATTTGACTACAACCAATAACTTACTGTAGAAAAAGGTAGGGGATTTTTTTTTAAAGTTATCTATTATTTTGTCACCTATTCCTTGCATATTGCCAAAGGGGAGACTACTCTAAGTTTTCTTTCTACTCTAAAAACTTTAAATGACTCTTTTGATTCAGTATGCTACAAAAATAAGTTGAGATCTATAAAAATAGATATGGCACGTAATACTGTAGAAGATTTGGGAAGGTTTGGGAAGTTTAATACTTGGTGCACCACTTGCATTTTAATGATAACAAGAGAAGGACCATTGCTATACTAGAAGACAAATTGATACCATCCCCATACATCTGATTACAGAGAACTGAAAATGTATTTGATGCTGAACATGTAACCAAGGTTTTATGTCCTATTCCCACTCCCCATTTTCAAATTTTCCCTGCATTACCAGGATTCTTGTCACCTGCTTCAGAAGTTTCCTTTGAATCTGGAGGCTGCTCTGGGGCAACATTAAATTCTGGCATGAGGTAACACTAAATATAATAGATCACAAGCTTGGACAGCTGCTGAGACAAAGACACCACAGGAAAAGACAGTTTCTCTATTTTTCTCCTCTGTGTACTAAGTAAGCAGAGAAAAGACTTGTTTCTCAGCATAGAGTACAAATATGGAAAAATTCTGTCTAGAAAGATCAAAACCCTATGAAGGCTTGTAATATAATATAAGTTTTGGTACGTTGCTTTTAATATATGCAGAACATCTTTACATATAAATTCATGCACACGATTTCATTTTGAAACACACTTGTGATGTCAGTTTTAAGGTAACCCTGTATTTTTCTAGATGTGCAATTTTACATAGACATATAATGAAGGTTAAATTCATAAATTCATTCACTTTTGAAAAAAATATAATTTTTCAACAGAGCAAATACCACCAGAACCCACTGAAATAAGAAATGTATTTTAAAATAGGAAAGAAAAATAAGCCATGTATCCATCTTAATTTTAAGACTATTTTATAATTTCTGGGAAAAGATAACTTACTGTTGATGCCTCATTTCTCCTCAAAGACTAAACTGTGTTTATATTGGGTATTTTGTTACAGTTAACTTGCAAAAATAAAAGTCAGTGCCTCTAAAAAATATATTGATTTTTCCACCTGATAAAAACAAACAAGCTAGAAAGTACTGCATTCTAGGAATAAACAAGTAGTTATGTAATTATGTATTTCAGTGTGCAAGAGCATCTTTTTTTCTCTATTATTAGAAATTGCTATTCTCTCTTGAAAAATGCAATTAAAGATTTATCAAAATAAACACAATTGCCAAGTTTACAGTAAAAAATAATAGTGTGTCAACCATTTCAAAATCCCCAAGCATCTACTGTCACATAAATGGAAGCATAGTGGCTACATAACCCCCACTCCTGAAGTTCAGTGTCTGGAAATTTGTATATTAATGCTATTAGAATAATTACATTAGAAATCCTTCCCAGAGAGAATCCCTGAAGTGTATTTTTGTTTTGTTGTGTTTTTTGTTTGCTTGTTTGTTTGTTTTAAGTTTCTTTTGTTTTTAAGTTCTAATGATTGCAGATAAATAATATCTTTAATCAGTTTTCTCCTCATATAAGTTAATGGTTCTGACTTTCCTACACTTTAAGAATCTTTGCCCAGAGAGAGCAATACAAAATAATACATTATGTAGTTAATATTTTGCTTTAAAATATATGAATTCATTTTACTAATAGGTCTTACAAGTGAACGCTTGAAGTCAAAACATCTTCCAGTCTCTGGCACATGTCATATGTTTCTATGCATAAAGTGAATTAAATATATCAAGTATTTCGAATCAAAACCAACTGATCCTGAACACGATGCACAGCTGACACATGTATTTGTATTTTACCATTCAAAACAACAAATCCAGTCACTTTGTAACATAAGAGTCACTAGCAGTACCTGGAATATGGATCTACTTTTCACATGCCATTTGATCTGCATTAGGCAGCATAAATGTCAACAGATAAAAAAAAGAGTCCAAGTCCATGTCAGGTGATTGTGTTCAGAAATCATTCTGCTTCATTCACAGCAAAGCACAGCAGTAGCTTCTATTCAATACAGTGTAGAGAAACAGTAAAAATGATGGCCTCACTTGCTAGGCAAAAGAGTTCAGGACGTCACCATTTCCTGAAGTACCATCCTCAGCTTTTGAAAAGCAAAGCTTACCTTTCTGTACACCAGCATGTTTGGGGATTCATCGGCCACCCCATTGCTGCTTTGCCCGTAATTATTTCCTTGTGCCATGTCCCACAGATTTGATCTGCTTTTGTTGTGCTGTAAAAGGTAAAAGTGGTCTCGTTAAGCCACTGCCTCAGGTCTCCTTCCTTTCTTGATGATTAACGGACCTGAATTTTTACCAACACATTATCAGAACCAGTGGATGTCCTTAACTCCAACAGATATTTACACCAAAGCAAAGCAGTTAATTCACCTTTTACTGTCACTACTCTCTTTTGCCTGTAAGTAATGAATGTAATATGTTAATCTAATTTAGCCTGTAATGAATTGTCACTCCGAATAGCTCCCTGACACACCACCAGCCACCATATCATGTGGGTGCCTCCTCTCAAAGCCCTCTTCCCTCCTCTACACAGCTTCAGTGAGGGATGTTCTGCACCTAAGACCACAGTTTAGGGGGCACTGACTGGGGCCATGACTGCATGTGCAGCGCTGCCCTCTCCTCACCGTTTGGGTCAAAGCAACTTTCACAGCACACAAACACGTAAAAAGCCACCCACCCACCCACTCTCAACTTCTCCACAATTCACCATGTAATGTGCCGGGGGAGGGGAGCAGGTTGCAGGGAGTATTGGGGGTGGGGGTGGGATACGAAAGAAGGCAAACAAGCTTCCCGGTTGCTTTCACCTACTTTCCTCGCACTTCACCACAAACCACCGGCTCGGCCGCCAGCCCGCTCTCCTGCCCTCTCTCCCTCCCTCCCCCCCCCGGCCACACGGGAGCTGCACCGAGCCAGCGCTCTGGCTTTGCACGCAGGTGTGAGAACGTGCTCCATCTACAGACCGCGCCGGCGGCCGCGGGGAGCCCGGCGTGCTGAGCCCTACCCCAAGCACCCCCCTCCGGAGCCCTCCCCGCCGCCCGGGCGCAGCAAATGGCCGGCAGCCCGGCGGCGGCGCGTTCAGCACAGCGGGGAGAGGCGTGTGCTGGCTCAGCACCGCGGGCAGCGGCAGCCCCGCGGAGAGCAGCAGCAGCAGCAGCAGCAGCAGCAGCTCGCTCGGCACCGCGGACAGCAGGCGGCCCCGCGCTCAGCACCGCGGACAGCGGCCGCGCTCGCCTCACCTGGCGGGCCAAGGTCACTCCTGCGGCTCCGGGCGCGCCCCGCGCGGGCGGCGTCAGCCGGCAGCGGGCGGGGGGACGCGGCGGCGCTCGCTCATCACACGCGGGCACACACACACACACACGCTCACACGCACACACTCACGCACGCACACACAGCCGGGGCTGCGGCTCTCCTCTCTCTCTCTCTCTCTGCTCTGCCGGAGCGGCGGCAGCGCAGCGCCCGCCCCGCAGTGGAGCGGCCGTCACGTGGGGGACGGGCACGTCAAAGGTGCTGCTGCTGCTGCTGCTGCTGCCTCCGCCGCCGCCTCCGCCTCTCCTCGCCGAAAGCGGCGGCCAAGGAACTGCAGCTGCTGCAGAGCTGGCAGCGGCCCCTGGAAATGAGATTAGGCAGTGCCGGAGGGCTGGGCAGGAAGAGAAATGTGGGCTAATGGAATGGGGAAGGAAGGAGGGAAGGTGGTGCGAGAGGCGCAGGCGACACCTGCTCCCCGCTATCTCCTTCCTGCACCTTCACCGGCAGCAGCAGGGTGATCGGCTCTGCCTGATCCTCGGCCCTGTTCTGGGCACCCAGAAAAAAAAATAATAAAAAATCCGTGGGGAGCTCGTGCCCCGTCGGCACCGCAGACCACCGAGCAGCAGGAGACAGCAAGTCTGTACCAACCTGACGGGAAGGAGCCCTGAGGGCACCTCAGGACATCCTCAGGGCTATTTTACTACGTCCAGTTTGTCCCTCGTTTGCATATAGAGTTGACCACGATAAAACTAAAAATAAGGTCTGTAGGTCATATTTTTCCACATCACATGGATAAGAATGCTTTCGTTTTCCAAATGCTGAAACACCCTGCATGCAACATCCACAAGAACAGAAAATATTTGAGTGGTTAGCTTTGGGATATTCCCATTTGAAAGCATCTTGTCTGGAAACAGTAACTTATTCAAATTTCAAGGATGATCTTGGAAATAAATAAACCTTCTGTGGTGCACTGCACCTTGTGGCGTGTGCACTGGTGGAATCCCACAATAGACACACAGAGGTTTCCATACATACTGTCATCCTCACTCTTTCTACCTTCCTCACATCCCAAAGAGACTCAAATCAACAATATCCTGTTAGAAGTTAGCTATTAGCAACTACTGATAACTAATCTTAACTACTCTTTCGAGTTTTGCATATGCCTTCAAGTCCTTTAAAAGAAAAAGTGACAAATTAACTAAGGCATTGATAGTGAGCCACATACAAAACAAAGAAGATTTGGACCTCTTAGGAAGTGGAAGAAAGGAAGATAGATTTAATACTGGTCCTATAACGAGCACTGAAGTAAAGACAGCTGACCTCAAACATGAATTGGAATGGACTTTAGGGAGAGTAGAAGTAAAAGGTGAAATGACCCAACAGAGAATAAGAATAAATAACAGAGCTCAGGGAGATATACTGGGTAGGAAAGGAGCTCTGTAGCAGACAGACAGCATATGTCTAGACTTTTCCACAGAAGAATAATTTAATATGTCACAAGAAAAAGGCACTGTGGGAAAAAAAAAATGTGGATTAGAGCAAAATTTGGAGTTTTGAGATGGAAGAGATCAATACAAGTGAAAGAATTTGATAGCAAAAGAGGAAAGTAAAGGAAAAAGAATTACAATGGATGAAAAGAGTGGCAGAGAAAAATATGAAACTAAAAAATAAACAGAACTGGAAAAAGGCTCATTTCCCATTAAAAATCTTCTTGATGTAAAGTAGCATCTTGAGGAACCTAAGCAATGAAACCTCAAAATTCTAATCTTCCAACAGACCCTGTGATTAAGTCCAGTCCACTGTTGAGAAATGAATACCAGCAATAAAGATCTCAATCTAGTTTTCCTAGCCATCACATACATGTCCCAAGTGACCAGTGTTGGAGTAGTTCACATACTACAGATTTGACTGTGTAAGACTGATAGGTGTACTTGATGTCAAGAGAGAAGTCTTCCAAAAGCTGTTTAAAAAGTTGAATAGCAGTAAACTCACATTCTTATTTATCAGACTGTTGTCCAAATTTCTGAGTAAAAATGGGAACTGCATAAAATATGCTTCAAATGCAATTTTACCATAAAAGAGGAGAAAAATATTGATTTACACATACTCTTTCCATTTGCTCTGCCAGTCAACATTTAGTAAAGAATTTGTGTTAAAGGGGATTAAAAAATTCAAACATTAGCAAGTTTCCAATAAAGTCACATTCTTGCTTTCTTACTCTGCCTCATCTTACTACCAATCCAAATGAAAAAATACAGAAAACAAAACTCTTTTGTATTGCAATTCTTGGCCAACATACACAAATTTGTTTACAATGTGTCTTTAATCCACCTAATTCCTATAAGCCGTTCAGCAAGTAGATTTTGGCAGGAGTTATAAGTCTTTGTAAAACTCCCTAACAAAGCTGACTAAATCTATGCAATAACATTTCCAAGCTTTTACTGTCTGAGAACCTCTTCAAAAATGAAGGCAGAGGTATCCCCAACTGAGTTAGAGTTTTGGCAATTCTGCCTCCAATCTTGATTTTGCTTTAAACATACTGATTAATTTCACAAATAAAGAAAAATACAAGATGTTATACTAGTCGGGTGGGGCTTATATATTTTCTTTGAAACAAACAAATTTCATTACCATAAGTTATATTCTAAAGAAAATTTATTCAAGTATGTAGACAGAGCAACAATCTGGATCTGCTGAAGTCAATACATGTTTGTCCATTGATATCAAAAGGAAATATATTTCACATACAGTATTTAATCTTGTCCTTGGAACCAAAAGAGTAACACAGTCATCACTGTTATGTATCTCATAACTACAAACTAGCTACACTGAAGCACACCATTTCATCAGCATGTCCACTGACAAAATGAAAAAGAAACTTTAACCTTTGAAATGGCAAAGCAGAAGAGAAAAACAGAAATAATCCAACAGATTTTATTTATTTATTTATTTTGGTCACCATTGGTGGTGAAACAGATGCTAGAATTGATAGCTTCATAAATATAAGTCAAAAGAAATTAATTTCTTTTCAAAATACCTAACTGGATCTCATTCTGATACAGTTGGATGTGCTTTAATTCATAAATTATTTACACATCTTCTCACATTGAAAGTCATCACTTATCTCATCCACAGCTAGCATTAGCATCTCCAGAAAGCATGGTCTGCCAGAAGAGGAATGTTCTCTTTCAAAATGCAAAGCAAAAACTACTCATTAATAAAACAAAGATGATAGAAAAAGGCTGTCAAGGGGCAGCTTTATCTAACAAGGCAATAAAGGTACACATGATTTAGTAAGGTGGTGACTACATTTTCTGTGTTTAGTTGGCAGTGTCAATAAAACTCAAGTATTCTAGTAATGTCATATGCAGATGGTACACATAACAGCTATTTTTAAGTCAGAATATTACGTACAGACAACATCTATCTGGATATGAAGATCTGGATTTTTTGTCTGTTCTACTGATCTGTAACATTATGGCAGCACGCTGCCCATATCCATTATTTATCTCATCTTATACCTACACTGAATGTTCCTTGGAGTAAAGACTTGCTGTGCAACCTCTTAGAACAGCATGATCTTGTTCTATGACCAATATTTTGAAACATTACTGCATTATAAATAATCATATTCAAACTTAGAAAAATAATGCAAACCTTCTAGACAGCTAGGCTCTAACACTAAATATTGACACGAGTTGTTACTGTGCTACCTTCAAGTATAAAACCCAGATTTTCTTTTTCTGCTAGCCTAGCTAAGCATGAAAATGGCCCTTCTACTTAAATTGAATGGATATATTTGTGATTCTACAAAACTGCAAGTGTTTCAGTGCCATGCTCTGAATTGATAGCTAGAGATCCCAGACTGAATCCTCAGCCTGATTTGAACAGCTGCTCCTTCATGAATGAATTGCAATCAATCCATTTAATGTAGGTCATCAAATGCCCTTCAGATGATTACAAGTTACAATATATATATTTGCTAGATATGTACCTTGCGTTGATTGATTTTCAAACTTTATTATTTCTTTCATGTCTTTTTTTTGATACCTATGCATCTATTTTGTCACCCACTTGCCAACTCTGTTGAAAGAGTAACTACCTTTATCAATTTATGATGCTAAAGATAAAATTGTATGTCATCTGTTTTATAGGAAAGAGGTCAAGACAAGAAAAAGAGGACTTTTTAAAACAGAAAAGAAGAAAGTAACTAAATAGCACTCTAGATTTAATGAGAAAAAAATAGGACTGATAAACCAACAACAAAAAATGCTAGAGTTATGGACAGGCAGAATTTCACATGACTAGGAAACTATTAGAAATAAGGAAAGACCCATTTCCATTACCTTTTTTTTTTTTTTAAGTGATATATATATATTTATACCATGTATATCACACATAGTAAGATCTACATATATATGAAACTTAAATGCAACTAACTTCATATCCTGCTAAAGATTTCGACTACTACTGTCATAGATAACCACAGCTACACAGAATTTTATATCAATATGGTGTCTACCACAGCTAACCATGGAAATTCAACAGTCAAAACAGATCAATGTCAAGTAGTACAGTCTTCACAATTAAACCAGTTTCAGATACATCCAAAAGAGGGCAGTCTTTCTCAAGGAGAAACGGGTTACATTAGCTATCTGATATACAAGAAATATTCATCAACATTAATTTTCTTTCCAGACAAATAACTATTACAATCATCTATACACCCTCATTTCCTCAAAAAGTGAGTGTTTACTGAAATGTAAAATATTACAGTATATTCCTTAAAAATTTCCTGGAACTCTCAAGATTAATTACTCTTTTTACTCTTAAGTCTAAATCACTAACTTGAGAAATAAGTTAAACATGTAGTAATACAGCTAATCTTCCTGAAAATATATATATATATATATATATTCAGTCCAGTTTGGGTCTTGCATTACCAGCATCCTCTCTCATTCAAGCAAGGTTCAAAATCACGGTCTCCTAAGGCCCAAAACAGCTCTTGGAGAGGCTTTTTCATTTTTCAATCAAGAGATTATTGACAGGATGAACCTGGAGTGTGGGAAATAAGACATCTGATCTATGCTTCAGTGAAAATATTTTAAATAAGGGTCTATTGCTCTCAGCATCTCATTACTTGCTGCTTATGACATTCTCCAAGGAGGAAAAAAAAAATGGAAGATTTACAGGTTAATATAGAAATCTTCAGAAATGTTGCATACCTCATGCAGCAGCACCCTAACTACTGAGCTACTTTATATGACGTAAGAAAACAGTGAATGTGATCTTGTAAGTTTAGCTATAATTCTTTTAGTGTGAGACATTA